AAAGTCCCCGACAGAGCTGTGTCAGTCGCGCCTGCTTCAGAGGAACGGGTGTGCGGGCGACGAAGGGGTGACTTGCCTTCCCCGGGAGGGCTAAGCCAGTTCTTCTCTTAAGCTGAGGGAGAGGCAGTGGCTAACCTCGCCTGCCCCAGGACGTTGAGAAGCTTCTGCAGGACAAGGAGCATACTCCAGGGGAGGGAAGGGCCGTCTGTTGCACAGCCCCTACGCCATCACGACCTCTTGCAAAGACGACAAGAGGAGAGACAGCTATGGCACCTGGGAGGGACACGGAAAGGGGAGCGGGCAGCGCGAGGCATAACCCCGCCTTAGACCAAGTTCTAAGCGTAACGAGAGCTTTTGTGTATGACTGGCAGGTGTTTACCGCGTGGGACAGCTTGGCGAAAAAAGCCTCTGGAGGACCGCAGCAGTATGCTGGGCCTACGTCTCCTCCTCTATTCAGCCGCTCCAACAGCAGGTGACCCCTAGGTTTCTTCAGATCAAGACTGGTACTGGCAGCGTAAGTCCAGGGCATAAAGTGCCACTGATTAAAAAAGCCTGTGGCTCGGGCTAGGTACAGTAGCCACCCTGGCAGGTCATTCAGGTGAAGGCCAAGTGGACCGAACCCCAGTGTCTCTGCAGCTCGTGGCATTGCACGCAGCTGATAAGGAACAATGGTGAGGCAGATTTGGGCCTGCGTAGGTTTCAGCAAAGCACTGGCTTGCATGCCAAGACTTGAGTCCCTTGGTTTTGATCACGGCTAGTAGAGTCCTGCTGCCCCAGCCTTCAACGTGCCAAGCACTTCAGAAATTCGCTTGTGGGCGCGTAGTTCAGCAAGCAGCTCCGTAGCAATGGCACTTCCCAGGGTGGTATCAAGAAAGGACCTGTAATCAAGCCACCCTTGGAAGTGTAGCAGGAACCTGCCCGACAGTAGTCCAGCTGCCTAGGAAGACTGGGAAACCGAAGGAGTAGGTAAGAGAGGTTGCATGCACCTCTCGACCTATGGAATGAATGAATGCCTGACAAATGGTAGAAGGCTTTGTAGGAAAGATGGTGTTTAGCTGGAAGCCGTGCCCCAGTCAAAGAGGGGAAGCTGTCTGGAAGAAGACAATGCCCAATGTCAATGGTCTTCTGTCTTGCCCGCCGGTCCACGGTGGTGTTTTCAGAGTGTACGCTACGGGAGCACCCGAGCACGAATAGCCATGCCGTCTGTAACTCTCTGTTTCCCGTGGCTGTACAGAGACTGTCGTTGTGCGCTGCCTTTCTTTCTGCAGAAGGCCTGTTTCTATTTGGAATGACTGTTGCCTTCATTGTCGTTCCAGGAGCGCTTGCACCTCCCTGGAGGGGACTGGAAGACTCGGAGGTAAAAAAACATTTCCCCTTGACTAGAGGGCTCTTTAGAGGAGCGCTGCCCCTCGGCCCCAACAGGACATTGTTTATGCCCTGTCTCACACAAACTTCACCTGGCACAGCTGCCTGAGATTCTCCCATTGCCCTTTCTTCCCTTCTGCCAAAGGGTCAGCTACAGCTCCCCGCTTCCGTCAGAGGACTGGGGCCACCCTTTTGCTTGAGCTGGGCTGTTTGCAGCTCCACCTTTCTAACACCTGAGAAGGGGAACTACGGTAGCCTTCTCCACCCTGCACCCGTTTCTCTCCCTCGATGCTTGGGAGTAGCTGCTAGGAGACACCTCTGCGGCTTTCCATTGCTAGGCTGCAATAGAAAGCCCCTGCAAGCAGCATTGCCCCCTCAAAGGAGAGGAGAGGCCAAGGGAAAAAAGAGCGTCTTCTCTCAGGCTGAGGTCAGCGTAGCAGCAGTTGCCCATGAAGAGCTTTGCAGGGGGGCACGGTTCAAGGACTGAGGGCAGCCTTGCAGCTGCCACCGTCAAGCGGAGAGGGAGGACAGAAGCGTGTTTCTCGAGCAAGCGGAAGAGGCTAGCCGAGGCAAGGGACGTGTTATGCTAAGAAAGGAGAAGAGGGAGCAGCAGGAGAGAGGTGGAGGAAAACACAGAGAGCTGAGATACTGGCAGCCAAGCACAGCAAAGACAACCGGGGCGGAGGGCTCTAGGGCTGATCCAGGAGAGCTCTCCCCAGCCTCCCTTAGATCGTGTCTCACTAGGCTATCCCTAAGGCAGGGAAGGAGAAGGAAGGAAGCGGGGCAGGGTGCTTCGGTAGGACCCGGGTTCAGGGAGGGGAACAAAGAGCAACACTGGGGAGAGAGCTGCTGTTGAGAAGCGGCATTTGGCAACGGCAACCGCTTTCCCTTGCTCTTTGTGCGTCTTGCGGGCCTCCCCTGTTTACGCCTGAGCCGCATGCGTAGCAGGAATTGGGAGACTAGACTGGGCAAACAGACGTGGGATCGGCATGCTATGCCCCTGTTGGCTACCTCTTAACTCGCAGCAGCCTGCCTCGAGACCTCTTCTGAAAGGAAAAAACTGCGCACCTCCTCTTTCTGTTGGTGTTTTCTATAGGAACTGCCACCTGCACCCCTTCAGCTCTGCTCTTGCATGGCTTTGATGACGCGTTGCCGCCTTGTAATAGGGAAAAAGATGGCTTTGGGCGTTTGAGACGTTCAGCAGTTCCCCAAAATGTACCCAGGCAGCCAGGGAAGCAGCTTCTCAGCCTGAAGCTCTGAGAACGTCGGAACTAACTCTCCCAACCGCTTAAGGCGTGGTTAGCCGGCCAGTCATCCAGAGCCAGGCTTCTTGCGTCGCTCATGTCCCCACGGCGTCCGAGAGGCCAGCCACAACACTTACAGTCTCTCCGTTGCTCACTTCTTGTAGGCCAGCAGGGGACGAGTTCGGAGAAGCGCTTAGCAATACCCTGAGCCTGCAAGAGCAGCTACGTAAGCTCCAGGAAGAGCTTTATCACCTGCGGTGGAGCGTAAAGGATGTCGCCGAGCGAGCTCTCCACGAAGCCTTGAAGCAGGCTAAGCTCCCAGGCTTTACCGGATGGGTAAGGGCACACTGCAGAAGGCTCTACTCAGAGGTTTCGTTCCTCCCTCCGCCATGTATCCTACTACAGTTCCCCGTCATAGCCAGCCAAAAGGCTGGCGCTGCTGCAACAAGTGCTGTGCATTGCCACGCTCCCTTTTCCTGCTGCTCCACACGTCCTTATGGGGGAAGAGAGCGCCGTGACAGGAATGACAGTTGTCTTAGTCGTACCTTCCTCTCCGTCCAGATCTCGGGCCCTCCTCAAGGGAGGACCGGAAAGAAAGAAAGAATGGTCCCAGCAGTCCATAGTTCCCCCAGTCCCACCTCAGGCCCAGAAGGCTTGTCCGTCCGTGCTGCCTGGCATGGGGCACCTCCACAGGAAAAGCCCCTTCCCGCAACTTCAGCTTTCAGAGCATCGGAGTGAGCAGCCCCTCCATTCTGACACCGGTCAATCAGAGTAGAGCAAACCTGGCAGGTTGCCGGGCAGTGCCGGCGTTCCTTCCGTGTGAGTTTAACCTTGCCCCAGCTCACCTTGGCTGGCCTTGCAGGGGAGCTGCTGGCCCCGTTCCTTTTCCTTCTAACAGGTGCTCTCCTTTGTCTTCCTTCCCAGGCTGTTCAAGAGATAATCAATCAAGTCTTGAAGAAGCTGGAAGAAAACCAAGTCCCCATGCCTGACTATGCCCTCAAATCATCAGGTGCCGTGACATTGTACAAAGCAACCAGTTCCAAAGCGCTTCCGGTCCAGCTTGACAAGACAGGCATTTGAACGCGCCCAGTGGTAGGAGAGGAGGGGCGACAAGTCAAGGGCCACCTCGTGCCCTAAAAATGTACCCACTGACAGAGTTGGGAACGGGCCAGACCACATCTGAGGAGCAGAAAGCCTAGCTCACGTTCCTGTCTTTCTCCACGGCCCCTTACGACAGTTTCATGAGTCCCTGCTCGGAGGCATCGTGCCAGTAGGAAAGAGGGGCATCCCACTGTAGGAGACGGATGACTACTTAGAAGCCTTTTTGCAAGTCAACAGGGCAATCAATATTCCTTATGACATTGCTCGCTGATCGTGCTCGTCTTTTAATTTCCAGGGGCTGCTGTCGTTCATTCAAGGACTTCGCCGTCCTTCAGGACTACCAAAGGAAAAGTCTTTTTCTATTCCCTGCCGGTGCTGGATCACATGAGGTCTCCTGAGCTTATTCTTGAGGTAGGAGCACCGAGAAACGGAAGAGCAAAGGGCGGGGGCGGCGGGGAGTGGGGAGGCAGCGGGAACCAAACACGCTGCTGAGAGCTGCCTTTACCCTTGTCTTTGCTCCTCAAAGCTTTCTTTTCCTGCCTTCTTGCATGGACCTACTCGCCTCCTGTGTCTCCCTGCTATTTCCTCTCCCGGAGTGCCCCAGGTCATCTGCGCGAGCTTTTAACAGGCTACCTTGGCCCTGCAGTCTTTGTCTTCCCAGGCACCGTGAAAACTGTCAGGCGCGGCACAGAAGGAGAATGGGAAAGGTGCCTGCAGAGGTCTGGGGTGTGAGCTCGCCAGGGCTCTTAGGGAGCACAAGCGGGCTCTGAGAGCCTGCACTGCTGGAGGGCCGGCCCCACGTTGTGCTTGCAAGCCATGCAGGCACTGCTCCGGAGCTGCCTGCACAAGTGCAAGAGTTGGCTGCTGCCCGTGGAAGGAGGTGGGACTGGATGAGAGGGAGCGATTGCGTTCCCTTACGGGAAAGGCTCGTCCAGGTGGGGCCCTTAGTTGCCACCTGCCCTGGGCGGGTGCCTTTCAGCCGCACCGTCCCTTGCTTGTTCTTGGCGAGTTGCTCCGGACCGGGAGAGGCCGGAGAGCTTCTACAAGTAGCGCAGCCAGCTCCCTGCAGTCCCTGCAAGAAGCAATCCAGTGCTTCTGCGCTGAAGGGGTCTCGTGACGCGTGAATTCTCGTGACTGCTTCTCTGTTCCGTACCCACAGGGTCCGACCGAAGGCATTGGCTGTGGTTCCGAGCAGAACTGCTTGGCCACATCGGTTCTTAATCTTCTGATGCGCGCGGCAGGAATGAGAGCCAGGGCACCCTTCTCCACGTGAACATGGTTTCTTCTTCTCCTTTCAGCCTGAAAATCATCCGGGAAACTGCTGGCCCTTCCCAGGAAGTCAGGGACACGTCTTCGTCAAGCTGTCTGAGCCAATCATTCCCAGGGCAGTCACCATGGACCACGTTTCAGGGACAGCGTTCCATGGAGACAGTATCTCCAGGGCCCCAAAGGACTTTGCTGTCTACGTAAGTGATTTCTCTAGAGTCGGGGGCAGGGGGTTGCATAGCATTTTTCTAAGCCGGGAGGGAATACAGGTCAGAGAGTCCAGCGGCCTGCGCTTTCCCCTGCCTCGCAGAAGAAACAAGCTCCTTGGAGTTGTATTCCTCTCTTATCCAATGTACCGCTCAAAAGGAAGCTCCTGGGGCAAGGTGCAACCCCAGGAGCCACAGGGAAAAGGAGCTGGCCACGGTGCACGGTCCTAGACCTTCTTGGCTTCCAATCCCAGTGGGCATTCGTGATCCTCAGGTTACCCCGCACTCACTGGGAACGTCTGCTCCTTCTCTGACTCTCAGCTGAGACTCGTAGAGTAGGCAAGCGTGGCGTGCTCCCCCGCTGCAGCTTCTTGTCTTCTCCTTGTGCTCCTCGTCCTTGGACTACGTAGCTGAAATAAAGCAGTACTTCACTGACTGAAGGTAAGTCTTCCCACGGTGTACCAGGCGCTCTTGTTTTCTCCACCCCTCTCTTTCTCTAGGGCCTGAAGGAAGAACATGAGGAGCAGGGAACGTTCCTGGGACAGTTCACTTTCCAGGCGGTGCTGAATCCCAGGCAGACCTTCCAGCTGAAGGTACGGGAGCAAAGAGGGAGGAGAATTGGAGGAGAGGAGGAGAAATGCGGTTGGCTGGGCAGAAGCTTCCCTGCCAAAGGGCTACAGGCAGCCCTCTCCTTGAGCACGTGCCACGCCGGCCTTTCTTCTGCTTTAACTTCCTGACGGCGTACGCCCGCACTGATGTTGTTCTTCTCTTGCGTTTTGGGTTTAAGCTTCAGCGCTTACAAGCGCCGCGGTTGAAGCTGAAAGCGGCTTGGCTGCCTGGACGCCAAGCGCATCCAAGTGGCCGCATCCCGTCGTATGCGCTGCTACTGGCCTGCTAGTTAAAGACGAGAAATACTGGGCTTGCTGGGGATTCTGTTGTTGCTGGTAGCGCGTGGTGACAGGGAGGCCATTCTGTTCCGGTGGCTTTCTAGAGAAGGCACTAGCACCACTGGGTCTTCTGACTGCGGAAGCACACGCCTCAAAGCAGGCAAGAAGACCTTGCCAACCTATTTGCCGAAGCTGCTTCTGGTAGCTGCTTCTTCCTTGACTATTCTCATGGCCAAATGAGGTAGAGCAGGAGAAGAACCTCCTGACCACGAGAGGTCAAAAAGGCCTCGCAGGGCAGCCAGAAGTAAGCTGTTGAACGAGTCCCTCGCTGCGGCACTACTCTGTCAGTAGTCAAATGCTAGAGAGGAAAAGGCAACTCATTTCTTCTTCTCATTTCAGAAGGAGCTCTCTGGTTTTGCGAATTACGTAAGGCTGCAAGTGCTGAGCAACTGGGGCCACCCGGCCTACACCTGCCTCTATCGATTCAGGGTGCACGGTGATCCTCTCAAAGACGGGGGACGGGCGTCAGTTTCGCCTGGCAATAAACTCCATTAATTTTCACCAAGTCGAGTTCGACCCTGCTTTGCCTGTGATGCTAACTGCTAAGAGAGCTCCCTGTCCCTCTCTCGACCCCCGAGCTTACCGGAGGCTTCCGGAGTACGTGGCAGAAAGCCTGACATCCACACACTTGCTGCCTACACAGTCCTAGACACGAAAGATTAAAGCAAGGTACAGTTGTCTTACGCGGGAGGCGGCTAAGGATCAACTGTGAGCACCGCAGCTCGCTCCTCGGCCAGCTGGGGCACTGGGCCTGCGCAGAGACAGCCTGCAAGAAGGGCCGTTGCACCTGGAGCTGCTCTCGCAGCAGCACAAGGGCTGTGCACAGCTCTGCCGTCCCTCAGTCCACACATGGGGTCTGGGCCTGCTCAGGGAGGGAGCGGGGGGAAAGGCGGGGAAGGGGAGGGAAGAGGAAGGAAGGGGAGCTGCCCTGGATTGGTTCTGGAACAGCAAGTCTTTCCCAAAATGCGGGTCTGTCTGTGCTGCCAGCCGCAGCCCGGGGCAGGAGGAGCTGCGTGACGGGAGCCG